TTTCAAATAACTAAATTCAAATAAAAAATATTACAAGAATAAAATGCACAGGTCATACATGGTGGAGGGGAGGGCCACAGGAGGAAGCAGTCAATATAAACTTTCTAGTAGGACAGGAAGTTGGACTTACTAGACAAAGACTTTAAATCAGCTATAATAAATATGTTCAATAACAACAACAAATGGTCATAGACGAGTATAAGATCAAGTCTCAACAAATAGGGAATATCAATAACATCACAGAAATCAGAAAATTTTCAGAAGAGGTTAATAGCAGATTCTAGCAGGTAAACCGCACATTTAAATATAGGCTAGTTGGTATTATCCAATCTGAGAAACAAAAGAAAAAACAATGAAGGGAAAAGAAAGAACAGTCTCAGAGACCTCAGTACATCATGAAGTATGCCTATTTACATATAATGGGAAAAAGAATATTTGAAGAATGATAGTTAAACTTCCCAAGGGTAAGCACATAGATATCTAGAAAGCTCAAACAATTCTAAAAAGAACAAATTGAAAGAAATTCACACCTAGACAACTGTGGCCAAAGCCAAAGAGAATCTCGAAACCAGTGAGAGAAGCAACTCATCAATACAAGTGAACCTCAGTAAGGTAACAGCTGTCTTCTCATTTATTAGAGACCATAAAGCCAATTTCCAGTATATATATATTTAAAAAAGAATGCCAACCAAGAATCCTATATTTAGCAAATTATGTTTCAAAAATGAAAGAGAAGCACCTCCCTGGTGGCGCAGGTGGTTGAGCACAGCACTATGAAGCTGTCTACAGTCTCTGCAGTGCCAGTTCGATCCCTACCAGCCTCGGAGTAACCCACATGGCATGGCAGACCTCTCCTGTCTCACCTGCTGCTCCGCTCAGTAGTGTATTTTGTCAGTCTGCCTGTTCTGTTCCCTGATCTGTCTCTGGTGAATCCTCTCACCCTCCCACACATCTGGCCTGTACCCCAGTTCTTGTATAAATAAAATAAATCTTAAAAAAAAAGAGAGAAATTAAGACATTCTCAGATAAAACAAAAACAGGGAGACTCCCTTGCTAGCAGGACTGTTTCCCAAGAAATACTAAAGAATCTTTACACTGAAATAAAAGGACACCAAATCCTGGGCCTCCCTGGTTGTGTTATTAAGACACAACCTATGAAGCTATCCGCAGCCATTGCAGCATCAGTTCAATTCCCAGCCAGGGAGCTACCCACATGGCACAGTAGACCTCTCCTGACTCGCCCCCTGTTCCCCTCAGCAGTGTATTTCAGTCAATCTGCCTGTTCTGCTCCCCATTCTGTCTCTCATGAATCCTCTCACCCCTCATCCCTCTGGCCTATACGCAAGATCTTGTATGCATAAATAAATCAATCTTTAAAAAAAAAAAAAAAAAGGGACACTAAATCCACACACACAAGAGCACAGCAAAAGGAAGAGGTAAAGGTAATTACATAGGCAAGTAAAAGACAATAAAATGTAATTATAAACATATGTTGCTGGGCATAAAAAATATAAAGATATAATTGAGACAGTAACCATCTGAAGATGGGAGGGAAACAAAATACAGGCACAATTTTTTTACATTCAACTGAAATTAGTTGGTGTTAATTAAATTAGTTGACAAAATATTGTTTTCAATTTAGAAAACCCAAGGAAAACCACTGAGAAAATTAAAAAAACATGAGAATTAAAACTGTACATTAGAAAATAACACAAAGTAGGTAACTGAATTTAATGCCCTCCCATGTGTCTAATGGAGGAAGTGAGGAACAAAAAAACAAATAGCATAATAGCAAATATAAATTCTACCTTATTGGTGATTGTATTAAATGTAAATTGATTAAACCCTCTCATTAAAAGGCAGAGATTAAAAGATGGATAAAAACAAAATTCAATTACATGCTGTGTTAAGAGAGGTAGTTTAGATTCAAAAACAAACAGGCTGAAAGTAAACAAATGGACCAATATAGCACATAAACAGTAATTAAAAGAGAATAGGAGCACCTATACTAGTATCAGATAAATGGACTCTAAAGCAACAACTGTTACCTGAAATAAAGAATATTTTATAATGACAAAAAACATTTTATAACGACATCACGATGATGAAATTATCATTAAATATAAACTACTCTCAATATTGCTAACACACACACACACACAGTGTCAGGAGTTAAAGCAGACCCCACAGGTTAAGGGGTCAGTCCCACAAGACTGCCACCACCACATCAGATGCCAATTTAAATCTAAGCTATAACTATACTTCTAGCCAATCAACTATAAATTGGAGGCTCCCACAATTCGCCCCTCAGGTTCAATAATTTGCTAGAGAAGCCCATAAGACTCAGGTAAACGATTTACTTATTATTGGTTTACTAGTTTATTATAAAATGATACAATTCAGAAATAGGTAGAAAAGACACTTAGGACAAATTACAAGGAAAGAAATAAGCTTCCACTCCATGCCTCTCTAAGTGTGTCACCTTCCCAGCACCTCAATGTGTCCACCAACTCAGAAGTCCTCTGAACCACTTTAGGGTTTGTTTGTTTTTTTAATGGAGACTTTACAATGTAGGCATGACTAATTAAGTCACTGACTATCAGTTATTAGGTCAACATCCAGCACCTCTCTCCTCCACAGACCTTGGGGTGAGGCACAAAGTTGCAACCCTCTAACTACTCATCAGTTCCCCAGCCACCCTCCCCCTTATCCTTAGGCATTTTACAAATGTCAGGTGTGATAGAAAGGGGTTTATTCAGAATGAGAAAAGACATTCCTTTAAACTTTATCAATATGCAGTTACTTCAAGAACTAGGAAAAAAACCCAAATATTTTATTATTGTTTATCAGAGGTTTGCACCGAGAACTATGTATGATGACCAAAGTGTATTTCTTATACCACAAAATCATAGATATGCATGACCCTAACAACAGATCCAAAATACAAGAAGCAAAAACTGACAGAAGTGATGGTACAAACAATTCAACAATAGTTGAAGAATTCAATACACCTCTCAATAATGGATAGAAAAACTAGGCAGAACTAGGAAATAGAACAATAATTTTAAGATGATTTAACTGAAATCCTACAAACGGTATTCTCAAACCATAATGGAATTAGGTATCAGTAATTCACACATATATGAAAAAAGTAATAAACTCTCTTAAGAGAGCCGTTGGTTCACTGAAGAATTCACAAGGGAAATTAAAAATATTTTCAGATGCATTAAAACAGAAATACGACATCCTAAAGCTTAACGAATACAGTTATAGTAGTAAACAGAAGAAAACATATGGCCATAAGTACCACATTTAAAAAGGTCTCAAATTAATACTCTTACTTTAAGATACTAGAAGAAGTAACTATACGTGAGGCTGGCTAAATGAAAATATTAAAAGTTAGAGCAGAAATAAGAGGAACAGAAAACTAAAAATCCAAAGAGAAAGCTGGACCTTTGAAAAGGTAAACAATATTGACAAAACCTTAATTAGACTAATCAAGAGGGAATAAAACCTCAAACTGCTAAAATCAGGAATAAAGGCGGGAACAACACAACCTTACTGACATAAAAAGAGTCAAAATACTACAAACAGGGCCTCCCCAGTGTTGCAGCGCTGTGAAGCTGTCCACAGCCTCCGCAGCACCGGTTCAATTCCTGGCCAGCCAGGGAGAAGCCCACATGATGAGGCAGACCTCTCCTGTCTCGCCCGCTGCTCCCCTCAGTAGTGCTTTTGGTCCATTGGCCTGTTCTGCTCCCCTCTCTCTCTGTCTCTGCTGAATCCTCTCACCCTCCCACGACTCTGGCCTGTACCCCAGCTCTTGTATAAATAAAAAATAAATCTTAAAAAAAAAAATACTACAAATGCCAATTAATTAAAGTAGATCAACTGGAAAAAATGCCTAGAAAGATGCACAAACAAAAATTGGCTTAAGAAACAGAAATTCTTTTTTCTTTGTTTTTTTTTCCCCAAGTAATAGAAAATCTAAATAGATGCATGGCAAGTAAAATAATTGAATAAGTAATTAAATAACTTCAAGGAAAAGTGCAGACCTAGGTGGTTTCACTGAAAATTCCATAAAACATTCAAAAAATTAATACCAACTCTTATTCAAGTATTCCACACAACAGAAGAGAAAGGAACATTTTCCAATGCCAGAATTACCCAAATACCAACACTAGACAGACACACAAGAAGCTACAAATCAGTACCTTTCATAAATATGACTGCAAAAATTCAGCAAAGCTAGCAAGCCAGATCCAGTAACATGTAAAAATGTTTATACCATGACCATGCGGAATTTATTACAGAAATGCATAGTCTGATTAACATTCTAAAATCAATGTTATATCTACCACTACATTAGTGAAGTAAAATACCACATAATCATCCCAACAGAAGCAGAAAAAAAAGTTCCTGATAAAAATTTTCAGTAAACCAGAAACAGAAGGAAACTTCATCAATCTGATAACAGTCAACCCAGCATACTAAGTGAAAGAGGCCAGTCACAAAGGACTTCACGTATTGATATGAAATGTCCAGAATTGGTAAAGCCATTGAGATAGAAAGTAAATTAGTAATTGCCACAGGTTGAAACACTGGGAGACAGAGAAAATAGGGAGTGACTGCTAACAGGTACAAGGTTTCTTTTTAGGAGTGATAAAAATATTCTCAGATTAGATTGTTATGATTGAACAAGTCAATACACAAAGAAGCACTTAATGTAGTTTGAAAGGGTAAAAGCTATGACAGAAATCATATAAACCAAAATATAACCTGTATCTCAACGGCTCATTCTAACAACAGACCTACTGGAAGCAGAGTTGATCACTTCCAATAACATTTATCATGCACAATCAATTTCTTACTATCCACTGCAAAACATAGGGCACAAAAATCTCTAAAAAGTATGATCAAGTTTACTTGAACAAAATCACCTAGAGCTTGGATGATTAAATCTTTGAACATAGGCCGAATAGGGCAGGATCCCTGACACTCACCTCCAGCTCTTCACTGTCTTTGGGTTTTTCCTCAGAGGTCTGTTTAACAAAGTCAGGGATAAGGATTTCCAGCGTGGCTCGGGCTATGAAAAGAAAAATCCCAGGGTAAGAGCATGGACCCAGTCCTCTTCCCATTCACTGCTCACTGCACATAGGTTTCTGTGCAGGGCTACAGTTCCCACAGCTCAAGGGCAGAGAAAGAGCTCTGGGAAGCAGCAACAGTTAGGGCCAACAGAAGACATCCCGAGAAGAGACAGTCAAGCAAGCACCAGGCTGCAGGCCACTTCACAAGCACACCAACCATGTGTGCTTTTGCCTGGAGATTACTTGTAGCGGGCCAGGGAAGACAGAGCTGTGTCAGAGGAATCATTGTGGTGGCACGAGGGCAAACGGCACAGGAAGACCTGGATGGAGAGGGGAGGACTAAGGGCTGAGCAGGCTGAGGAAACAGTGGCAGGGAGAAGCAGTCAGTTGGATGGATACTCTGGATTAAGCAGCTGCCCCCTGGAGGTACAGAGCACAAAGATGGCTCCTTGATGAACACAAGCCCAGAGTGAACAAGGCAACCACTTGCCACTGGGGCGGGAATCCAAAGCAACTCGGGAGGGTAGGGGTGTTGTATGTGAAACCACTTAGGGTTAAACTGTGAGCAATACACTGGGGCTGAGAAGTCTAGAGTACAGCTGTTATTTGGGCAGAGGAAGTGGGTCTCCAACCTGGGGAGAAGTGCAGCAGAGCCATGCCCACACAGGGCCTACTATCTGTGTTATCTGCTCCCTATCACAGTCACATCCAGTCGTTGAGCTGAAAGTCTTTTGGCAGAATCCCTCTACAATGGACAGCAGGCCTTCCTGGACTGGGGTGGAATGTAAACTCACCAAAGTCCCACTGAAGGAAGGATAGTAATGAATCATTCTAATCCTTAGTATACACCATCACAAGAAAGCAACACCAAGGGAAACCCTAAGTCCCATGAACAAAAGCAGTCACTGACCCCAAGGCCTACTTAGACTGTGATAAAATTGACACACTTTTCAGAAGAGCAGAACTGCTCTGGAAAACAAAATGGCAATGATAGAAATTTTGAGATTTAATCCATGGATGTCAGGGCGTAGGGTCAAACACCCACACTGCAATGTGGTCCACTCTCCAGAGAGGTCAAATAATCCTGATGGTGGGGCAAAATGGCTTCTTAGAAAGAGTGCCCACTACCAGTGCTGAGAATGAAAGTGAATAGCAAGTACATGGTCAAAAAGAGCAATGGATTTTAACCAAGAAACATATGCTTTCCCAGGAATCTGCTATGCTATGCTCAGTGAATAGTAGCCCCAAATTTGGAGTAGAGGACTCAGGAAATAGTCCTCATAAATGTCAAAACCACTCAATGAAAAAGTTAACAGCATGCTGATCCACCTGCTTCTTGTCTTCTAGTAAGCCAACATTTTGCTCGATTTAAACACACACCCACTCTAGAATGTATGTTGAGTATACCCTGGCATCAGTGACTGGCAGGATAAGGGCAGGAGATTCTGGCCCAGCTGCCAATGTATAGGGAAAGGACCGTCTACTTTTATAGCTCACATATTACTTTCTCTGAATCAGTTCCAATGAGCACATCATTTTTAAAACTCAAAGCAGAAGATGAGATAAATAAAATCAGTTTGCTCCACCCACATCCCAACCTGCAGCTAGCTCAGCCCTCCCTAGCCAATGGGAGGGCAGATCCAGTAGACAGTATGGGTCTCTGACACCCAACCAAGGACATTACCAGCTTTATTCTTCGCAAGTTTTTTGCTGCTTGCAGTTCCAGATCCATAGGTCACACCATCAATGGTCACGGAGGCACCAAAAGGTTCACTTGGATTCTCTTAAAATTAAAATTACTGTTTTAAAATACACTAGCCAAGGCATTGAAAGGATGCACACACATATACACACAATCTCTTCAACCAACAGGCAAGCTGAGATCATACTGTCCCGCAAAGAGAGTGTCTATTGTTAGAAGAGACCTGAGGGTTCCCCTGAGGTGTGATGGGCGACAGGGCTGAGGGATGGTCAGCAAGCAGAAGAGTACTTTGAGGAAAATCATGGGAAACAGGGAACACTACGGGGTAGCATGCCAGAGGGGAAACACGAGGTCTGAGGCAGAGTTGCCAGGGAACAATAGCTATGAAAGATGAACAGAGGAATGGGGAGGAGCAGGACTATGCAGATGTACCAAGCCAAAGAAAAAGGTTCTAGCTTCCAAGGGGAAAATAAACTGGTTTCGCAAAGATGTGATGAAGATGACTGCAGAAGAGAGCTGGTAGGAAGTGCAGGCTGAGGCCCCTTTACCCTGCTGCGGGTATCAAGAGACCAAGCCTTCTTCACAAAAGGCAGTTGGGACTTGACAAGAGGAAGGCAAGGCCAGGGATGTGGACAAACAACAAGCAGAAGGATTCACTCTCACTCTTTCATGGGCACACATCCATGAAAATGAACTGCTTATCTGCAGCGCAGTTCTTTGCCCTTCCATTTCTATTCCAGCAGAGTGGGGCTAACAGTGCAAATGCCTCCCAAGCTGACCAAAGTGATAGGTGTGATTCTTTAAGACCGAGATGGGGAAGGTCAAACTTACCACATTCAAAGAAATTATAAACAGGGCGGACCTTGAGGACACGCTGCATGTACTCGTGCAGGATGCAGACCTCGGATTTCCCATTGGGGTTAATGACAAACTCTGCGACAAGAAGGACCATCTCAGCAACAGTGCGGTGACTCGATGCAAGCTAGCACCTGGGACTTGGCGCCATCCAAGTTCCCAAGTCATTCACTACCGTAGGGACTCATCACCATGAAGGTGGTGAATCTCTACATTCGTAGGATAAATATAAACTTAAAACTAAATACATATTCTGGGAACATCAAACGAAAAATAACAGCACGGCAACCTGCCAATGTCAAAATTTACAAACCCCAAATTTACCTTTCTTTGTGGGTGCATCTTGCACAGATAATGTGATAAGTTTCTGGTTGGCTGGCAGAATGGGCCTCTCTGACTCAGCCTGTTTCCGTTTCATTTCACGGTTGAACTGCCGCCTCTCAGCCCAGGTCCTAAATTTCTTCACAGTAACTTGCTCAAAGTCAAAACGCTTCTCCAAGTAGTTCCGAAATTCCTCAAGATCTATACAAAATTTACCATATATCAAATTACTAATATTCAATGTAAAAATCATACTCGTACTTCTGCCCACTCAGCAAACAGCAATGTGCTGCCCCTCAAATCCACAAAGTGAGGTGGTACCCCCTGCCACACCTTCCCAGTTCCTTCTGAAGACCAAAGGAAATGGAATATTAGGTTCTTCTCTCTGCCTGTTCAAATAATTCTGGCAGGTCCCTGATGCAGCCATTTCTAGGACACTCTTTTAGTTTACTTGAAACAATATAACAATTTTGAGAGAAAAAAGCAAAAAAAAAAGGTTTTCATGGGCCTCCCTGGTGGTGCAGGCGGTTGAGCGCAGTGCTGTGAAGCGGTCTATAGCCTCTGCAGTGCCGGTTTAATCCCCGCCAGCCTCAGAGCAACCCACATGGCAAGCACACCTCTCCTGTCTTGCCCACTGCTCCCCTAAGCACTGTATTTGGTCAGTCTGCCTGTTCTGTTCACCTATTCTGTAGGTGAGAGGGTGAATCCTCTCACCCTCCCACATACCTGGCCTGTACCCCAGTTCTTGTAGAAATTAAATACCTTAAAAAAAACCAAAAAAAACAAAACAAGGTTTTCATGACCTTTCTCTCCTGTATCAAAACAGGTCATTGACAGCCAGCAGCATCACAGGGGCCATATATCCACTGCCCACCTCTCTTGCTACCTCCCATGCACCCCACTAGCTCTACCTCTGGACACCTCCACACTCAGCAAATACACTCATGTGGCACAGGCTCTCATCATGCCGCCCTGCATGAGGTCTTTGGTCCAGTCCTACAACTCACTCAAGCACCTTGTCTGCTGTTGAGTGAAGTCTCAGGAGCCTCCTTCTCTTACCACTGTAACCACGCATCCCCCGCCGCCCCCCACCACCACCTTATCACAGCCCAGAGATTTCCAGCCTCACTGGTTTCCTGCCTGTCCTATACCACTACTGCACCACTGCTGTAAGCTCAGCAGAGGAAGGTGGACGAAAGGTTTGCGCCTAAGATTGAGACATGTATGGTTACAACAAGAAGCTGCAAAACAATATACTTGCACCTACTTAGCTATAAGTTCCAACTATATCTTTCTTTACAAGTAAAGCAGAGACCTGAGTGTGGACTCAAATACTAGTAACCACCTCTTGCATGAGAGTGAAGTTGGAAGTGGAAGGCAGGGTGTTTCAGAAAAAGAGGAACACATTCAGGTACCACATGTGCATAAAAGCTGCTATAAAGAAATGAACCATTAAGTCAGAAAGGGAAAGCGCCCTTCTGGCTGGATTCCCGAGAAAAGTTCCCACACTGACGAGGACCCAACCTGAGTGGGGGAGGGAGGACATGCCAGACAGAGGGGGTGAGGAGAGACCGTGGTACGTCCAGCCATCAGAGATGATGGGGAGGCTGGTGAAACAACTTGTCCTGCCCTCAGACACCCAAGGTTCCAAATGCCTCTCTCCTCAGAGGCCTCTTCTTCTCTCTGAGGCATGGGGACATGGCTATTCCCCCTCTCTTCACAACAGCACCCTTATCCCTAGCTCTTCCAGGGCCTCCCACATAGAGTTATGAAAGAGGTCAGGCAGCAATCCATTCAAAATCCTGAAACCTCAAAGCTATCTTTGAAAGAAACACAGCAGGTCGACTAAAACAGGTTTGTCACTACTGAAGAGACAACTAAGACAGAATGGGTAGAACTATGCTAATAATGAAAAACACCAACACACAGTCTGAAAAGTAATTCCAGGAACCAAGAGAGAAAGGTCCACAAAAGAGTGGATGTTTCCCAGGGCTGACACCATGGATTGAAGACACTCACTCTGAAGGAATCAGGATAGATCAAAATAATGCCATGGGAGGACATCCTACTGAAAAAACAAGCTTCAAGACATCATAAAAGCAGCTGGAGAGAAAAGCCAATCTGTACTATCAGGAACTGTCTCCATGACAGTACAAGACACTTAGGCCCTGGGCAAGGTTCTAAGATCACAGAAGTGGGTCTTCCAACAACTTGAAGGCCGAAGAAACAGATATATCTGTTTGATGATGGCCTTCAGCAGGAAGGAAACACCAGGGAAGACATGGGATACAGTAGCATTCCTGCAGATGAGTCCAGGCTAGCGAGGAAAAAATAAAAAATCCAAAAACTTACCCACCGATTCATCTTTGCACACCTCAACCTTGGCCTTCACCTGTCCCAGGGCTCCTGGGGTAACATCAGCCCCCAGAGAGTCCTTCTCATCTGGAGGTCCCGAGTCAGGCCCCATGGAGTCAGGCTCTTCCAGTGGAAACTCCAGCTCTGCAGATCGGCTCAGGGGCTTGACAGGGGACACCTCCCCACTGGGGGGGAGCTCACTATTTTGCTCTCTTTCCTCATTATCCTTCATTTTCTTGTAATGCAAGCAGGGGATGCTACTCAGAGGAGGATCATGTTTCTGTGGATGGCAAAATTGCAACACAGATTATAAGGATGAACTTGAAGGTCTGAATATCCCACGTCCTTCACCAGCCTCTGCTTGGCTATAATACAACGTGTGCAGATATACATGTTCAGTCTGCAAACTTGTAATACTAAATGCATCTCCTACCCGTATGCTTCCTGTTCCTAAGAAGTACGGCCTGGACCAGGTGACCACTCGAGACTCTCTGTGTAGGTACACAGGAACTCCAGAATTATGGAATGTCATGATCCACCCATCGGGTAACGGTTCTGTAGGTGGGCGGCCACGACCTGCACAAAAAAAAAAAAAAAATTAAAAAACCCATCCTACAATCACTTTAAAAACATTTAGAACTGGGCCTCCCCGGTGGCGCAGCGGTTGAGCGCTGGGTTGCGAAGCTGCGCGCGGCCTCTGCGGCGCCGGTTCGATCCCCGGCTGCTCCCCGGCCACCGGAGGAGGGTCCCACATGGCGCGCAGACCTCTCCTGCCGCCCGCTGCTCCCCTCAGCAGTGTACTTCGGTCCTTCTGCCTGCTCTGCTCCCCGCTCTGGCTCTGGTGAATTCTCTCGCCCTCCCGCGCTTCTGACTGTACCCAGTGCATGTATAAACAAAACAAACAAAGAAACCAGCAAACAAATAAATAAAGCATGCCTCTATAAAAAAAAAAAAAAAAAAAAAACATTTAGAACTACTCAATGTTTTAAGAATTATAACATGATACACACACACTAATTTATAATGATGTATACCTGCCACCTCTATATTATAAACCAGCGTTACTTTCCTAATCTTTTTTCAACTATGTCACACGACAGATAAAATCAGTAAAGGCAAGCAACTATTGAAAAGAACCTCTAAAAACTAAAGGAGAAGAGGAGTACCTCTAGCCCTCCACCAGACACAGCCCATCCCAGTCCTACCTGCCACTTGGCCATATGGGTATGCTTTATCTGGGACTAACCTAAGTTTCTCCAAAACAGCAGGAAGCTGTCTACCTTGATCGCTGCTGTACTCCAGGTCTAGGACTAAACATGATACATGAAGGGGCCCAGAAGAAGGTATTACAAAACACAAATCCTAACCTCACCTCCAGCTTCGACCACTGGTGAACTCTGTATAAATCTTTAAAAAAAAAAAAATTTCTAACTCAGTTTTAAGACACTATTCTCAAGCCCATTTTACAGGCAATCATAAAAAAAAAGCTCAAGACATGTTATCCACTTCATAACTGCCACAGACAGCCCTGGTTGCTGGGAAAGCATAAAGACTTTTTTTTTAAGATTTATTTATTTATGCATACAAGAACTGGAGTGTAAGCCAGAAGTGCAGCGGTGGGGGGCGGGTGAAAGGATTCACCAGAGAGAGTAGGGAGCAGAGCAGGCAGATCTACTGAAGTACACTGCTGAGAGGAGCAATGGGCGAGACAGGAGAGGTCTGACGCACCATGTGGGTAAGCTTCCTGGCCGGCTGGGAATCGGCTGGAAATCGAACTCATGCTGCAGTGGCTGAAGATAGCTTGATAGCACTGTCTTTAACCCCTGTGCCACCAGGGAGGCCCATAAAGACTTAACTGAAAATTTCTTACAGGCATTGGGAGCGCGTTAAAAATTTTGAAACAAGGGCCTCCCTGGTGGCGCAGGTGTTAAAGACAGCGCTATCAAGCTATCGCCAGTCACTGTAGCATGAATTTGACTCCCCGGCCAGCCAGGGAGGTGACCCACATGGCGCAGCAGACTTCTCCTGCCTTGCCCACTGCTCCCCTCAGCAGTGTATTTCAGTAGATCTGCCTGTTCTGCTCCCCACTCTCTCTGATGAATCCTCTCATGCTCCTGCACCTCTGGCTTACACCCCAGTTACTGTATGCATAAATAAATAAACCTTAAAAAAAACTGAGACAAAAGGATAAATGCAAGTGAAAGCTAGAAAAATCTGGTTGCTGGGAAAGCATAAAGACTTTTTTTTGATGATGAAAGTGGCATAAATGACTGAAGGAAAAGGGAGTGGCACATGGATAGCAGGCCCGAGCTCAGCAGCACTGACTCCAGCCCTGAGGCCACACACACAGCTGATACTGGACAGATGGCTAGAATCAGAGAGCCCCAAGAGGGAATGCTGGAGGGCACTCTTCCCTGTGGGCTAAGGCCAAGATGAAGCTGCTTTACACTAGCTCTGAGCTAAATCAGAATGAGAAACAAATGAACTATGAGCCAAGCACAACACGGGTTCATCTGGGTCACTCATTTGTGACAATGAGCACCCACTAAGTTGGCTTAGCCATCTATCTGGAGAGCTCACATGCAGTTCACACCCAGTCTACCAGTGTGAAGCCCACAAGGCAGTTCCCAGGACGGAAGCAGTGGGGTAAGCAAGTTTCCAGGCAGACAGGCTGCAGTGGGAAGGGAGCCACAGTGCTCAATGCAGGCACTGCCAGGAGTACTGCTAACCTGTAGGCTACTCAAGAGCAAGCCTCCCAGAGGTAAAGATTATTCCTCGCCCCTCCCGAGAAAGAAACTGAGATACCAGGCTCATCTCCACCTCTATTGCTAAAACCAACACCCGGGCCTCCCTGGTAGTGCAAGGGGTTAAGCATAGCATTATGAAGCTATCTGTGGCCTCTGCAGCATGAGTTCAATCCCCACCCGCTGCTCCCCTCAGCAGTGTTTTCAGTCAATCCGCCTGTTCTGCTCCCCACTCTGTCTCTGGTGAATCCTCTCACCCTCCCGTACCTCTGACCTGTACCCCAGTTCTTGTATGCATAAATAAACAAATCTTTATTTTTTTTGTTTTTTTTTCCCTCCCGCCATTAGCATTAAATAAATCTTTAAAAATTAATAAATAAAACCAACACCCATCCCGTTTCCAACTACTACACAACATGGACAGATGTACACTACACCCAGCACTGATATGTCTGCTCTGTAATCAGATGAGATGCCACCTGACCTCAATTTCCTCACACTGTGTGCCTCACCACATTCTGCACTCTGGTTCTCAGCCTGAGACATCACTTGCATGCCCAAGGTTTGCTTTGTGCTCTCCCTGCAACTTCAGCAGTCTCGTGTGAGCAGATAAAGCATGTCAATTGTTCTCTGTTGTCCAACTGCCCAGGCAGCACCAACATCTCCACCTGGACACTCACGGGGCCTCCAGGCCAGGAAAGACAGAAACCAATACTGATTCTTCTCAGACCTTTACTGCATCCATGAAGGAACATTGCAGGCACAACTCTGGCCACTTCACAACTGTTTTCCTTAAATCCAAACACAATTCCATTGCCTGTACCTCTGAAACTCCAAAACCTGTACGCATGAAGTCCCACCCTGCCCACCTGAGGAATATGGACTTACTGTAGCCACAGAAGTAATGTTTTTAGACAAAAATTATGTTAACAACACCTGCTTGCTTCTCGTGGCTTCCCAATACTCAGTATAGTATCCAGAATCTGGACCTGACACTGAGCGCCCACCTCTGGCCTTCATCTCCATAGTCACTGGCTACCATCTCATTGTCTCTCAGCACATACCAATAACTCCTCCTCATCCCATCAAGTTTCCTCCCTTCCTCTGCACAATACCAGCTGCTGTGGGGCTTCCACAGCATACACCATGATCTACACCTGGGTCATTGTGCATCTGGAAGTGTCCCTGTGTCTGTTCTGATTCCCCTTCACCAGACATCACCATTCTGCCTGCAAACCATGCTCACTGCCCAGAGTGATCCCTAGAGCACTCACACCTGCACATCTGCGGCCTTGTTAACACTCACTACCTCCTGACCTGCCAACTTACTTTTGAGCACTGTTTTAATCTTGGTCATCATTGGCTGCACACTTGTTTCTCCATCAGATGGGTGGTCACTGTCCCCTCCATATTTCTCCTCCATTCGTCTCTTTTTGGGAGCGCAAAGTCCCTCTTCCAGCAGAGCATCAACATCGTTGTCAAATTCATCCTATAAAACATGCTATTCAGATACTATAGTCCCTAGCCCCCAAGTTCCTGTACCACAGACGGGCAAACTTAAAAACATTAGTGAGAACAGACAGCAAAATAAGGCACTCTCAAGAAAATGGGCCTAGATGTGGCTTTTTAGTGCCTGATCATCTGAAAAACAAACAGGAGGAAATCAACAACTGAAACCAACACACTTGGCACAGTTGCACACAACACCAAGTAGCACTTCTCAGCAGCACCCCCCAACTCATTGGGAAAAAGGTACAAACAATTCATCAAGAAACTAAGAACCTGGACTCCTTTTCCACATAAATGTTATTGTACCTCGTGTAGGTGGTTATTTTTTTTTTCCCTGCAACATCAGCTTTCAAAGGATACTGAAATTCCCACATACTTTTCTTTGGGTTTTGCTAAGAGCGCTCCAAAGGAGGGGCTGCCAACATACCTCATAGGAGAAATTCAAGGCTTCTTCATCCACTCTGTCTCTTTGCACGATTGCTTTAGCCGTGAACCCGCCTGTTCCTTCTTCATCTAGCTCCAAATTGTCAGTAAAATCTTCTAACTCATCGAGCACTGCATACTCCACTCTCTTTTCCTGATCCAGCTCATTCTCCTCATCCTTCTTATCAGCACTCTCACCCCCTACACCTACCCCATTACCAACACTCCCGCCAAAGGGACAAGCATGCACGTCTCCACTGACAGGGCTAAGGGCCAGACTGCACTCTGTGCGAGTGTCACGCTCCACTCCTGTGTACAGCACCTTCCTGTCCTTACTCCTGCAGCTCTCGGTAAAGCTCACGCTAATTTTTACATCCTTAAGCAACTTAAGGTCAGGGGAGAACTTCCGGACCGCAGGTGCGTGCCGGGCGGTGCGCGGGCTGTGGCCACTACAGTTCGGATCTATGAGGAGACGGGCCTTAGAGAAGGATCCTTTGGAGAGAAGAGAAGCTCCGAAGAAGTTGAGTGGGTCCTCAGCAGGGGGTTCGGCCTGTCCATCACCACCAGAGCCAACGTCCATTACCTCTGCATCACTGGACGTTTGCAGGGGAGGTGGTGGAGACTGTTCACGGGGCAGCGCTTGGAGGGGGCACGCTCGGTTCTCCATCACCGCTTCTCCTGCGGTCTCACGCGGGATAGGAGAGGGACTCTCATATGTCTCCATAGCAAAAGTAGTTAAGACTATTTTAAAAGACCAGAGTTTTAAAAACCTTACATAAATCTATACAGCTAACATGCACAAGTCCGTCGAAACCCAGGTGCCGTCCTGCCCGCGCTGCACACGCTGGCGGCTTAGTCAAGCTGGCCACATTGCTCTTTTCATTAATGTAGACAGCTTTTAGAACCACTGCCTCAATTATTGGAAATCACAATGCACTCAGCTTAAATGACTGACGACTAAGCGAGTCTGTCTTCATGCCAAAGTGGCACTTTTCTTCTTTCACCTGCAAAGAGATTTAAAAACACCATCACAAAATGACAGAAACCTTGTGCTTCTCTGGTACCAAGAGGATTATTAACAGTGTAGTAAGAACTTGAAATAATGCTGCCAACAAGAACCATCTAGGCTTCAAAGCAAACTAACTTTACTTTTTTTCTTCAGAACCTAAATTATAATTTAAGGCCAAAGTTAAATATTTTATTAACTGTCCACTGTAATTCTCACTTCAGAAGAAAAAAACATTATCTTAAGGCTCAAAAATGACTAGGAAAAAAAACTATACTAAACTTTACCACATCATTCCCCTAACTCAGTTTATTAGGTAAGCGAGCACACAGTATAAGGCTGCCCTTTCCAGAACATACATAAGGTGTGTGGCCTCACTCCAGCCATCAGTGCAACAATGATCCACTCACCTGCTACAGCTGGGTCAGTCAGAGGGCGAGCGCGAGACCCTCAGCTCAACTCTGCAGCACTAGAGCCTCAGAGGTACGGCCAGGCGCTCTTCTACCCATGGAAACCAGGGCTCTCCTGGGCCCTACAAGGTGGCACGTGGACAGGACAGTGATGGAGCATTCTGACGTCACCAGAGGTGGCATGGTTCTGTTCCCAGTAGAGGGGCAGTGGGGAAAGGAGACTGCCAGAGTTTTGGGAGGGAGTCCCATAGGAGAGAGTTGGAATCAAGGCACATCCTGGGGGCAATTAGGGGCCATCGAGATAGGGGAACTCTTGTGCCACAACTTAGTCCCTCTTTGAAAAAGAGACTCGACAGCTGTGCCACGAAGAGTGCCTCTGCTAGAGGCATATGGGGCAGCCCTCAAGACCAGAGGACAAAGGTATAAATGAGGTCCTGGTGAGGGAAGTTGGAGCTCCAAAGAACACTGACACAGAATTGACTGAGTTGCTGACGGGTAGAGGTGGAGAGCAGAGACAAGAGGGAACTGAAGGCAGATGAGGTTCTTCCTCTGGAAAGACACACATATCCTAGAATTTAGGTAGAAGCCCACAGAGAAGAATGAATGACACCTCCAGGCAGGTCTGTCCAACAGGCTGCAGCCACAGTTCTGGTGGTGTGACTGGCCGAGATATAGAGGGCCAGAATACATGAGGGAGGTGTCAGTTACCAAAGCCACAGGAGAGAAGTCACCCAGAGAGAACACAAACCAAGAAGAAGGTTGAGAACACAAATCTGGAAAGCTTCACGCCAAAGGGAGGATGACAAACAGATGGCATGAAGCTAAAAAGGTAGGACAGAGGGGCAATCAAAAAACCCTGAGGTATGCAGAGGGCCTGGCACTGGAGCAGAAGCACATGCACATACACAGATACACGTGTGTGAACATGCCACATACAGAGGCAGATACATCTGCATGGAGCAGCCTAAGTGCATGGACAGAACAAATCGCTACATATTTAAGAAGTTTATGGGCCCTCCATGGTGGTGCAAGGGGTTAAGACGCAACCTATGAACTTATCCACAGCCACTGCAGCAAGAGTTTGATCCCCAGCCAAGGAGCTACCCACAGCAGACCCCTCCTGACTCGCCTGCTGCTCCCCTTAGCAGTGTATTTCAGTTAGTCCGCCTGTTTTGTTCCCCACTCTGTCTCTGATGAATCATCTCACCCCCCACATCTCTGGCCTGTACCCCAGTTATTGTATGCATAAAATAAGTAAATCTTTAAAAAAAATAAGTTTATGGTGTTTACAGTGAAGGGATAGAGCACGGTGGCTGCACTTTGAAGAGGACACAGTGACTTTAGATTTCATTCATTCATTCAACAAATATTGACCAAATACTTTATGGAAGGCGCTACCATCAAGAAACAAGGTCCCCCACCATATGGACAGAGCTGGTAAAGGGCAGTGACCACTGCGCTGTCTTTCTACTTCCTAGATTCTATGCCGTCCTTGTATTTCTGAATTTAACACAATACCTCCTCCAAAGGTATGTCCCTTGAAGGTGCTTAGGATCAAGGAAATACAGCATATAGATAATGATTGACTCAGAACTGCTATAAACTCTAAGGAGGCTACAGTCAGACAAGCATAAGGAACACTATGCCAGTCTCCTGGCAACCAATAAGGATTCTTTTAAAGGACAGACAAGTCAGCACATCCATTGCTACAGAGGACCATTGCTACAAGTCAGCACATCCATTGCTACAGAGGACCAATCCCTCAGGACCAGGAAGGTCTGAGGAAACCTCAGCAAGAGTTAATCTGCATGATTCTGGAGGCTGAATGAACTAAAGTGAAGAAGACAGAAAAAGGAGGGGTTGAGACAAACGGTGGTACAGGGTGGGGGCACCTGCTACCTTATAAAAAAGGCTAAGCTAGAGCCAACACAGAAGCACAAAGCAAGATGATGATACTGGAGGCCTTGAAGAGGTGAAGTGGTCAGAGAGAATATTCTCCTTGGGAGTCCAGGGAAAGCGCTCAGCCTTAGGAGGCAGCATGTGCTGTGTTATCCAATGAGAAGAGTAAAGAGAAAACAGGGCCTCCCTGGTGGTACAAGGGGTTAAGACGCAGCACTATGAAGCTACACGCAGCCACTGCAGCACGAGTTCAATCCCTGCCCAAGGAGGTGACTCACATGGCGCAGCAGACTTCTCCTGTCTCGCTCAGCACTGCTCCCCTCAGCAGTGTATTTCAGTCAATATGCCTGTTCTGTTCCCCATTCTGTCTCTGGTGAATCCTCTTATGCCCCCCCACACACACCCCTCTGGCCAATACCCCAGTTCTTGTATGCATAAATAAATAAATCATAAAAATAAAAAGAGAGAGATAACAAAGCAAAGAGTTGGGCAAAAGGAAGCATTTCTGAAAGGCCAGTGAAGATCTCACAGTCAATGTCCATTTGAAGGCAGAGGAGTGCTGGGTGGGCATCCCAGACAACACTGAAAAGAACAAAGGCACTAGGGTAGGAGTTGGTATGACAGGTAAGAAACTTTGGTCTTCTACTCAAAGAGATGGAACACTGGAGAGGAGGGGCTAATCAATGAGGTCACATGATCCAAAGACAAGAATGGCATTCTGGGAATCCGTGGTGGCACAGGGGTTAAAGTTTCAGCGCTATCAAGCTATTCACAGCCCACTGAGGCATGGTTCGATCTCCAGCCAGGGAGCTGACCCACATGGTGGGTCAGCTGTCCTGTCTTGCCCACTGCTCCCCTCAGCAGTGTATTTCAGTAGATCCACCTGTTCTGCTTCCTACTTTGTCTTTGGTGAATCCTCTCACACACAACCCTCCCCCACCTCTGGCCTCCATGTGCATAAATAAATAAAAATCTTAAAAAAAAGAAAAGAAAAAGAATGGGATTCAACCCTCAGTCAGGTTCTATTCTAGGAGTTTCATGCATTTTCACCCACTAGTTATCACACAGCACTGAGAGAAATGTTAAGCAACTTTCTCAAGGTCACAGTTAAAAAGTGGTGGAGCTGCTTTACCGTCCAGTCAAGCTGGCTCCAGTCTGTACTGCCCTGGTCTTACACTGTCTTGCAGTTTAAAAGAATCCCTCTGCTCCAGAAAAAAAATTAGATGAGAGGCATGGGTGAGAGCAAGGAGAAGAATTAAGAGTCTTGGATCAAGACATTAAGTTAGAGGTGGTGAGATGTGGTCCTGAGGGCCATGTGATGACCTAAGAGAGAAATTCAGGGAACTCCAAACTGAAGGACAGAGCTATCAAACTGAGGTGGTAAAGACAGCACTAGGAGGGTTCTGGGATAGGTGACGATCAGGGTTTGGTTGGATATGGCTTAATATTGAAGTAACACACTAAGACAAGAAAGAGTGGCAGCTCAGAGGCTCCACTGGGCTGGAGATGGACAAGATGGAGAAGTCAAGAAGAGGTGGCCAAAGCCAGGAGGCTGGATAAGATCACCAGAGGAGAGGTGGCTACTATGATGAAAGGCTAAGACTAAGCAAACCAGTCAGAATCATATTTCCTGCCCCAAGGCCACAAAATTACAAAATACCCCCTTAGACGTGTTCCCCAAACAGTGCCTGGCTCAAAAGGTGGTTCTATGGCCCACTGGCCTCACTACTGTTTCAGTGGACTTAACACATGAATGCAAGACTTGCTTGCCAACTGGACTGTGAGCCAGCAGCAAACTCCTATCAGGGTGCCCTGGATCCCTGACACAGGGATAAAACCAATACACTTGGACAGCATCCTTCACTGGAGTCCACTTGCTGGGCTGACATTGAGGCACTGTTGTGATGGTCTCGTGCTGTGGCTGCTGCCTTTAGGTCAAGCCTCTCATACTGCAGCCTCCCCCCTCAATTCCACAGCAGTATGACCTCATCCATTTCTTCTGTCATCCTCCAAGGGACCTCACATCCTGTACTCACAGGCAGCAGCACCAACTGGTCACTGGCTCCTTTTGATGAGTGACAGACTGCCTGAGGTGGGTCAGCCTGAGGCCCCAAGACTGGGGAATCCAGTCTGCAGCCAGGAAACAGAGTATCCTCCCCTAGTGGTTGGCCTCTCAGTCAACAGCCCTAGACTGGATTGGCGTGCATCGAGTAAAAAAGTACATGCATACATGCAAAAGGTAAACAAAATTCCTACCGCGAGCAACCCAAGTGCTGAAGATACTTGACAGGTATCACTGCCAACAGGTTGCCACCTTCCATTTATTTCTACCACACTCATCGTTACAATAAGACCACATTCCGAATACCTACACGACACTCCATACACGAGCATTTGGTGGAAAAAAAGACTTGGGTGACTTCTCAGATTTCCCAAACCACGTTACACATAGCGGGGTCTTGCCACCCGGGTTCACGCCTTTCCCACCGGGAGCGGCTTGGGGCACACAGAGCGAGGAGCTTCTTTACACTCGGGCTGTTTACCCAGAGGCAAAGTGACCCGTGTCCGCGCCGCCTGGGCCCGGGCCTGCCCCCTCACACCCCGCCCCCGGCGGGGCCGGCAGCCAGGCGTTCTCCGAGACTCGCGGCCATGATGCCTCACAATGGCCCGGACTCCGCGTGGCCGGACCCGCCCAGCCGCCGCCCGAGCCCGCGGCCCTAGGCCCGGGAGGGAGGAGAAGGGCGCGTCCTAGCACAGGCCGCAGGGCCGGCCGGCCCGCCCGCCCGCCCGCCCGCGGGGCGCCCCTCGCGCCCCGCACCTACCTCCGGCGCCCGCAACCTGCCCGAGCTGCCCGCAGCCCATCCACAGCAAGAAGCCCCTCACCGCCTGATCGCCACCTTCCTCTAGAAAGGCCGCCCAGGCACTCTCCGGTCCGCGGGACCCGCCTGCCGCGCGCGGTGAGCGAGGGGCGGGCCCTGGTGGCCCACAACCAATCCCTTCACGCCGCCCCCCTGCATTGGGGGAAGCTCGAAGCAGGCTGCCGAGGCCGCCAATCACCGGCGCGTGACGTTCGTAGCCTGGGGGCCTGGTCCAATGGCTCCGGCCGCGCAGGCGTGACCAAGCCGTGAAGACAAGGCCGCGCTAACCGTCGCGCCCGGGCGGGGTTCGCCGAGCTGAGGGCCCTGGCCGCGAGGAGCGCCGGGAACTAGGAGGCGCGGGGAATGCCGGGAACAGGAGAGCGCGGGAAGCGCCCGGAATGCTGGGCCAGGGAAGCGGGGAATGGGAGAGGGTATGACCCGAGCGGCCCAGGGCCTGGTGGGGGTTGGGCTGAGCTGACGCTGTCCCCGTACATACATGGAGATCCCACATTTTCCAATTAAAGGCATTAGTTCAACTATAATCATTAGGGGAAAATATGCAAGTAGGCGCAAATAATCTGGACATTTTCTAATACTGTATCAGGAGCCTCACAAACAGGGAGATACTGTTAGGGGGAAATGATGTCCTGAGATAATCTCATACAGGCTTTGTGGGCCCCACCCCCACTCCAGACTAAAGCCATCAAGACATTGGGAAAGACAAATCCCATCACCACCAAAGGGAGGGTGGCTGGGACCTGAGGGTGGAGTTGGGCAGCCAGGTTGGATATAAAAACCAAACACGTGGGCCTTGGGTCTTTCTGGCTCGCGATCGCTTGCCTCCTGGCTTCACCGCTCCTGGCTGGCGGCGAACTCTGAGAGCGCCATTTTGGGATTCCTGATCGGCGGATCGGGTAGTACTCATTTAAAACCTTGTCTCCCACTTTTCTCCCGGAGCTGTACATTTCCTCATTTCCCCTTCCCTTGTAAATAAACCTTTTATTAACCTTTCACGTGTGCCTGCAGTAGAGCATTGATAAGTCCTTTTAAGCGCGCGGGTGAGGACCCACAGTCAGGCACCCTGTTTTGTATCGGGGTTGCTCTACAACAATACCAACAAAAATCTGAGTTAGTTTTATGGATCTAAGCTGCTTTAATAATAGATGAATCGAGGGTCTCCCCGGTGGCGCAAGGGGCTGGGCACCGCACTATATGGGGCAGTCCGCAGCCTCTGCCGCAGGAGTTCAGTCCCACATGGCGGCCCACATGTCGCGCAGACCTCTCCTGGCTCGCCCTCTGCTCCCCTCAGCAGTGTACTTCGGTCCTTCTGCCTGCTCTGCTCCCCACTCTGGCTCTGGTGAATTCTCTCACCCTCCCGCGCTTCTGACTGTACCCAGTGCTTGTATAAATAAATAAATAAATCTTTAAAAAAAAAAAAAAATGCCTATATAGTGACAGGGAGGCAGTCTTGTGAGTGACAAACATCTAACCAGGAACCATGCTGGAAGAGTAAAGAATGAACCCCACCCCCACCACCATCACTCATTCAGCAGTGAGTAAAGCAAAAGAGCTTTTTTTTTTTTTTTTGAAAGTACTTGTTAATTTTAATTTAATTTTTGAAGATTTATTTTTTTTAATATTTATCTATTTATGCATACAAGAGCTGGGGTACAGGCCAGAGGTGTGGGTGGTGAGAGGATTCACCAGAAACAGAGCAGGAAACAGAACAGGCAGATTGACCGAAGTATACTGCTGAGGGGAGCAGCAGGATAACAGGAGAGATCTGCTGCGCCATGTGGGTTGCTCCTGGGCAGGCCGGGGATTTAACTTGTGCTGCAGAGGCTGCAGACAGCTTCACAGACTGCATCTTAACCCCTGCGCCACCAGAGAAGCCCTAAAGATTTATTTTTATTTATACAAGAGCTGGGGTACAGGCCAGAGGCATGGGATGGTAAGAGGATTCACCATAGAGTGGGGAACAGAACAGGCAGACAGACTGAAAGCCCTGCTGAGGGGAGCAGCGGGCGAGACAGGAGAGGTCCCTGGCCAGCCGGGAATCGAACCTGCGCTGCATAGACTGTAGACAGCTTCACAGTGCTGCGCTCAACCCACCACACCACCGGGGAGGCCCCGCAAAAGAGCTTTATTAAAGAAACAGGCTAGTTCCTGCCAGTAGCCAAGCCTGAGAAGATTTATGGAAGGACAGATAAAGAGGCAGAACAGCTTCTGCAAGGGAGGGGTTTGGAAAATGGGTTGCCATTAAGTGAAGACCACATTAGGGTTTTTATAGCCGTACATAGGCTTTGGGTCTAGGGGCTTTGGGTCTTTGGGTCTTGCAGATCCTTGACTGGTGGCTCGGGACTTTTGTCCTAGTATGTTTTTGATGCTGTAGGGTAGGTAAAAGGCATCAGGCTTTTCTGCCCTTCCACCATTAGGATAGATGGTCCTAATGCATGCCTGATGGCGGGCACCTGGAGAAGGGTATGGGCATGCATAGGTGGGTACACCTGGGCTAAGAGACTGGTTTATAAGGGTGGCACAGCAGAGTGCGGGGTGGTGGTGGTGCGGTGTCGAGGGTAGAGGAGTGCACTGGAGTGTACAGAGGAGTACGGTGACTACAAACAACAGCGAAGAGCATGTGGCTGCAAGAACTGTTAATAAACCTACCCGGAATGGGTTGGTTGCCTTACAACTGGCAGACGGCAGGATGGTTCAAAGCAGGACAGCTCTACGCAGATGAAACCCTTTGGAACCTGGGGAGGGATTGCTGGGTGGCCGACCACAAGCAGATGGTACTGGGTGGCCGACCTCCTCGCCCAGTGGGCCCCTCCCCAGGAATGGCCAGAGATAGATGGATCCCCAGGGCAGTTGGAACAGGCCCTGTATGAAATAGAAGAAACCCTGAATGGATGCACTGCCTGTGAGGCGGCAGGAGCCGTGGGGTGGGTGTTTCTCACAGCTCTGCGAGAGTCCAGGCAGAGAGAGTGTAGGGTAAGGTAAAAGGTATCAGGCTTTTCTGCCCTTCCGCCATCAGGATAGATGAGAGAGCCCTGTGATCCTGGGTGCATGCCTGATGGCGGGCACCTGAAGTGGGTACACCTGCGCTAAAAGACTGATAATATAAGGGTGGTGCAGCAGAGTGCGGTGTGGTGGTAGTGCGGTGTTAAGGGTGGAGGAGTGGAGTGTACGGAGGAGTGTTGGAGCGACTACAAACCACGGCGAAGAGCATGTGGCTGCTAGAACCGTTTATAAACCTGCTCAGAATGGGTTGGTTGCTTTACAACTGGCGTAGACGGCAGGACGGTTCGAGGCAGGACAGCTCTACGCAGACGAAACCCTTTGAAATCTGGAGAGGGATCCCTGGATGGCCGGCCACGAGCAGATGGTACCCGGTGGCTGACCTCCTCGCCCAGTGGGCACCTCCCCAGGAATGGCCAGAGGTAGATGGATCCCCGGGGCAGTTGGAACAGGCCCTGTATGAAATAGAAGAAACCCTGAGTGGATGCAGTGCCCGCGAGGCGGCAGGAGCCGTGGGATGGGTGTTTCTCACGGCTCTGCGAGAGTCCAGGCGGAAAGAGCAATCTAGGATCCAGCAAGTACTGGATGAGATGCGAGAAGAGATACGAGAAGAGATGCGGATACAGCAACAACATTTGAGGATTCTGGAGGAAGAAGTTCAGAGAAACCGACCCACCCCTCCCGAGATGCCAGACTCCGTCTCAGGAAGGAAGGAGAGGGAGGCTGGCCCTTTGCGCGAATCACAGCCGGGGGTGGCAAACCAGCCTGCGACTCCAGAGATGCCTGACCCCTGCTCAGGAGAGGAGGAGAGGGAGGCTGAACCTTTGCCTGAGTCCCAACCGGCAGTGGTAAACCAACCCGCCACCCCGGAGATGCCGGACTCCTCTGGAGAGGAGGAGGAGGCCGGGCCCATGCTCCGGGCCCGCCCGGTGGTGACTCAGAAAATGAAGCGGCAGCGACCCATGGCCCCAGGGGGTCAGGCAGCGGGACCACCACAGATGACGGAATTTACTACCTACAGACCTTACACCCAGGCGGAACTGGTGGACTTGGGCAAACAGTTCCGCCAGAAACCAGGGGAACCCTTGGCAGCCTGGCTGCTACGTTTATGGGACCTGGGGGTGGATGGGATTATTTGCACGGCTCAAGAGATGGAGAGACTGGCCTCCGTGACTTCACACCCATCCTTGCGACAGAGGCTGCAGAACAGCCGGCGGTATGGCCAGGGCGACCACACCCTCCTGGAGTGGATAATGGCTGCCATACGGACAGTATGGGCTGATGCGGGAGATGTGCCGGAGACAGTAAGCGGATGGCAGACGTACGCCGAGCTGGTGCAGGTACTTCGGGAATTGGGGATGCGGCAGGCCATGTTTAATGTGAATACGCGTGGTCCTGACGACGAGCGTTTCACAGCAGGAATGAGAGACTTGGTATTAAAGGATGCCCCCTCCTCTACATTTGGATCCCTCATGGCAGTACTAGCACCCTATGTGGGACGTCAGATACATGACGTCACCACCATGATAGCCAGCTTGGGAGAAGTTGAGAGCCGGCGCTCTCAGAAAGGAATACGGGTAGTTTCAGAAAGGTCAAAAGGAATGCCAAGGAGGGCAAGGAGGCCTCTTGGCATCACAGAACCTATAAAAGTCACCCGTAAACAAATGTGGATGGATTTAATAAGAGCAGGCGTAGATAGCACTAAAATAGACGCACAGCCCAATGCATATTTATTGGAATTATG